GAGCAAGAACTGTATCAGATGCACCACCTTTTGACCCCAGCAATATTGTGTCATTGCAGACACATTTCTGCAGCCACTTTCTTTTAGTCTATTCTTTCACTTCATTTTCTTCTATGTTTATTGATGGGATTCAAAATTATGGCAGCTCATGTTTAGCAAGTTTAAACTTCCTTGGAAATGGGGTCTGCAGATTTTTGTTCCTTCTCTTCTTCCCTCTATAAATTAAATTGGCTTTGCTTCTGCTGAGCCACAGGCTGTTTCTGGGTTCTGCAGATTGTCCTTCTTTGACTGTAAGTTGCTATCTGATATCTTTATTACATTTTGTTTTGATGATGAGTTACTTAAGTTCAGTATGTTGAAAGAATGGGGTTAATTTGTTGTGTTTTTCTCATCATATGATTGATTTACTCATCTGGGTTCTTATTGTTATATACTGATTGTGTCAAAGTTTCGTCCTTTTAAGTTGTCTTGTTGTATCACCTTAATAGTTTTGTTGCATAATTCAGGATTCGAAGAATTAATGGTGTGTCTATATTGAAAATGAAATATCTGAAATGCCTCTCGCAGTGAGTACTTTTCAACTTTACGATTGTGCATTATTGCAAACTATCTCTACTTTTTCTGTATGTTTGTTGTATCTCCTCTATTGTAACTTTCTTATTCTTGATCAAGATTAGCTAAGAAATTATAATTAGCTTATCGATTTATTTTATTTATTTTTTATGTTATCCCACATAAGGAATAAGGTTTTGGGGGTTTGAAGTTTCAATTTGGCATCTTTTGTTTTGTCAGTTTGATTCAGACCTTGTGCTTAAAGATCTAATATAGGTCCTTGTATCAGGCCTATAATGATACTGTGTGGAACACAAGTCTTCTTTTTGATTGTCTGGGATTCTACTCATCAATGGATGACATTTTCACCCATCTACTTGTTGGAAATTTGGCTCACCTAAGGATACAAAGTCCTCTTTTGTGTGCTATGGATTTCTACCTAAATTCCATGACATGGTTGACTCATTTCTAGAAGAATTTTGGAGTTGCCCATGTGAGTAAATATTGGCTTGCCATCTTTGTCAAAAATAGGTGACTTGTTTGGTGGCACAAAATGGTGGAATGTTTGGTAGCCATCCATGGTTAAGTTTGGTAGCCAACATTTGAATAGTGTGAGGTTGCATTCACACTCTTGCATATTTGGCTATATAAAGGGGTTT